CACCAACCTGGAGCAGAGGCACGGAGAGCAGTCTGCGCTTCCGGGGCCCCTGGCCGTCGTCCTGCTCCTTGTTGTAGTTGGCGTAGAGGAAGTGCTTCGGCGGCGTGCGAGGCACCAAGTTCACCTGTTTGCCGGTCAGGTGGCATTCGAAGGGCAGAAGTAGCCTGCGGAAAATAAAAGCACAAAACAACCTTTAGGATGAATCCTTTCGGGGGGGGGAACCACGTGTCGCGCACACGTGACCAACGGCGGCGTGTCGGTGAGCTCACTTCTCGTAGTGCCGGCGGGTGCAGGTGGCCGCGCTGGTGCTCCGAGGGTTCCCCCCGAGCGTGTTGTACACCTGCTTCCACTGCTGCTGGCCGGTCACCTGCAAGGCAGCGGGGCAATTTAGGGCCTTCGTAGTAGTGTTAGTTAGTATGCGTCGATGACTACGTGAACATGGTTTCAAAATCAAACAAACTTGTACTTATGGTGAAAATAATAACGAGACCGCCGGTGAGAATTCAGTGGGAAATAGTTGCTTACCTGGTAGTAGCCACCTAAATCTTTGACAATCTTGAACATCACAAATAGATCAACTGAAAAAAGGAAAAGACAATTCATTATTAAAATGTAGGGTTTTTTAATAGAAGAACATTATTTTTGTCTTTTTTCTAATGTAATCTCTTTATTTAAGAATGTACTTTTATCTTATCAAAATCGATTTTAATACAATAATAAAATAAAGCGATAGATTTAACCAGGTCATTAGAATCAAAATCACAAATTTATGTCAATATGCAGATACATAAAATATAGTCATTGCACCACATATTTGTATTATATAGAACGACTTTGGTGCATTGAACAAGTGAAATGCATTTTAAATCCACAAAATAGGATCCAAGGAAGAACAAGTACTTTGTTTGAAGCCCAGATTTGGGATTCTCTCTATCGGCGTCTCTCTCTTCCGCATGAACATGTAGAGGTCTTTGAGGAACTCATCCTCTATCATCTCCTCCACGGGCTTCTTTGGCTTCTCCTGCTGGATTCTCGTCTGCTCCATTTCTACGCGTGTCTGAGAACACCAGCAAAACACACTAAACATGACTGCGCCGATTACCCGGATCCATGGTTGATATTGAGGTATTTTAAAACAAAACATCTCATCACAGTCAATGAATGTCGATTAAAACGCGCAGCGCTACGTGGCCGGACGCAAAACGATGTCACTGTTCGGAGGTCACGCCATCGTGACCGGCGATTGATTAACGCGTCCTTTTTGATCATTCGTCAAAGTGTTACGCCGTGTTTGTACTTGTCCCCGTCGAGTCCTTCCTGTCCCTTGAGACAACATACCATTGATATGAGAGTCAAACACGGCATCAATGCCCTCTTTCATTCACGTCTTTCCTTTTGTCATTCAAACTGACTGACGTGGCTGCAGAAGTTTGCTCGCACTTGGAAAATCTGTCCCATTGAAGACACAATTTGGCTTTTATCTGACAGTGTATTTCATCATATACTACGAGTGTATTAGCATCATGTTTTATAAGCATGAGACAAAGTAACTCTGCACAGTGAAACGCTGTTTTACCCGGATTCTTTCTTCCTTCTCTCTCTTTTGCACAATAACAGTAAAATGCTGCTTAACCAACAGCTCGTTCCAGAACCCACATCTTTAATTCTAGTTCTAGCAAAAGCGTCCTTTGAATAAAGTCACAGAGCAACTGTGCATTCCATCCCGGACAGTGTTCCTCACCTGTGTTTCAATGGAGAGGAAAAGGATGGATCATATCACGGCGGTGATGGCGAGAATACAGCCGACAGCCTGAAGTGTCCTCCGCTGTTTGAAATCACTGCACACACACACCTGTCCCTGGTACCTGTGTGACAGCGTGGGTGACTGGCTGTGAACCGAGGGGGTGTTGACGTCGGACCAGTTCAACCTGCTCTTGAGCACATTTAAAAAAAAAAAAAACGTCCGCTAGATTATTTCACAGAAATTACCCGAATTACGAGAGAATAAGTGGCTTCAAAGTGTCCACGTGGAAGGAGTTTTAATTCGAACGACTCAAGTTTAGATATTTATGGGTTTACAACCACGGGTCCAATCAGAACCAAAAATGCATCAGATGCAGAAGGAGTATAAGAATGAAAAAATAATAATGCTTTTTTACTTCCTTTTGACTGGTTGCCTCCCTTTCTTTTTTTCGCGTGGCAGAATTATGCAAATCCCAAATCACGTCATCGGCGACTCTATTGTAGAACGTTCATAAAACAAAAGAATATTGATTTTGCCAACATGTTGCCTGCTCATTGTCCAGACTTCACACACCACCTAAATGTTACAAAAAGCAACTCACACAAAACCAAAAGCAGTCCAACCAGGTGGTAAACAACCTGATTAAACCGACCACTGAGTGACGGATGAGGGCGAAGGAAATACAAAAACTATAATTACTGTTAAAAGGTGGTTGTGCCCGCACATTCCAAGCCAATTTATTGGCTGCAGCGAAATGTTTTCACTGGAATCCGGCCGTGATGTCATTCCGGTTCAGGGCGTTTTCCCGGAGTGCCACCCACATCATGATGACCGTCCTCCGACCTCACGATGAAACCGTGAAGAATCACGGGAAGAATGATTCACGAATGAAGGTGTCGCTCCATCACAGTCGGCCTCCCTGTGAGCTCCCTTAAGTCTGTTTATACTGACACTGAGTCAACACGACCCCCCTCCCCTCAAAACCCTTCTTACACATTGCTGCCAATTGCACGCTTGAGTCTGCAGCATCTTGCAGCGCGTGGGCAGCTGCGTGTGTTTTTTAACCCGCAGTTTTAATAAATGACTTGAGAACCCGCTTGGTGGGAGGCGGGAGAGCTGGGTGAGTTTTTGTCACGGTGGGTGGAAGGCAGGACTCAATCGCAGAGTTTGTTCAAGCAACAAAAGGGACTTTAATAGTACAAAAAAGGTTTTTAAAATCAAAAGGCAAACACGAAGGCAGAAACAGGAACCAGGATCGGGAACAGGCACATGGACAGGACCTCCAAACAGTTAACAATGACGCGACAACAGACAGGTGCAGGTGATTGGAAACAGCTGGGAACTATCATGACATGGCAGACAATCACAGGGGAAGACAGGACGAGGCAGGAAGTGACCCAGGGAGAACAGAGGCAAGAAACTACAGAATAAAACCAGACATGAACACAAACCGTGACACAAACGGAGATCTGGCGGTCGGTTATTTGGGAACATGTTGACCCCGGCAGGGGGGGTCACGGTTCCAATCCATCACGCGGCCCCCCGAGCTGCACGGCGTCGCCGCACCGTCCCGCTTTTAAGTCTCCAACTTTCCTTTCTGATGAAAAGGCTCGTAATGATCATGAAGCCGAGTACACACAGAGGTCAGTTGGCGTTTTATCGTAGTGTTCATGGGCAGATGTTTTGTTTGCCTGCCAAACGCACGGCCAGGTTGAGTATGAAGACGGGATACTTTTTTTTCCGAGGTTTCTCCGCATAAAAGCAGTCTCACATGATTCAATGCAGCTTTGAAAGGCATTGATCATTAACCGATTAAATGAAGCAAAACAACACCGTTTCTGGGCCGAAAGTCTGCAAGAACTCTGAGAACAAATCACAAAGAAACAAATGTTGACGTTTCCAAGCAGGCTGTGATGAATACAATAATGACCTCACGTATACACTATTTTATAATATATAATAATGTGGTATGTTCATGTCAGCGTTAGTCAGCCTTGACTCAGACGGGTGGACTTACGCAACCTCAGGGGAATATACAAACAGCACCTAAATTCCACAACAAGGGTTTGTGTAAACCGCACCTTAATCCCATAATGTCAAGCAGTTATTATTTTAATGGGGACCGATTTGGCAGCAGGTGTGGTTGATTTCAGGAGGGCTGATTGGCAGCCGTGGAAGTGGCACATTAGACGGGGACCTGCCCGTCATGGTGTGAAATAAGGACAGTCGTCTTCCTCCAGGCAAATTCAAAAGATTATCGCAAACTGCGTGATCGTGATTTCTGGTACCGGTAAAAAAAGGACGTTTGGCACAAAAGACACATTTGTGGTGTTAAAGAGAACGCACGAGGAGCGGCGAGCCAGCAAACAGTCGCATGTATCAATTTCAGGGATGTGTGCGATTTGTGCGTCCGTGCAGTAGAACAATAGAAGCGTAGATGGTAACGCACACTTCCACTGGCGGCAATGCACCAAGAAAAATGTGGTGACATTTCCTTGATCAGACGGCCTTGATAACTTTGAAAAAAAAAAAAAATAATGTTTCTAGCGTTTCCAGGAATAATCCTCTGTTTCTGCGCTGAGTGAACACGGAATACAACAACGACCTCAGGAGTTGGAATGAAGCCCGGTGGTAGAACAGGTTGGTCGGGGCTTGTGTTCTTTTTTCATTCCTTCCTCCAACTGTCACACAAAGGGAGACAGAGAGAAGGAAAGTGATTTATGCGATAAACCTGATGCCAAATTTACAGAGGATGCACTGATGATTATCATAAGAAATAAAGTTGTTCATGTGTGCAATTATTTCAGTTTAGGCATTCAAATGATTTTTACACCAATTTTTAACATCTGTCTTCATCATTTGATGATTTCCAAACGAGTTACTCTTAAAAGCCTTATGGGACGTTTACCCTCCCATCTGTGCTCGATTGTGCCTTGTCATGCAACCCGTGTCCTGATATCTCAATATTCGGCGCCCTCGGTTGAATTGTCTTAGGCCTCATGGAACGCTGCATGAATTCTGTTGTCGATCAGCTCATCACACGGGAGGGGACAGCTCGGGACCCTCGGCGGGCCACAATCCCACCGCGTCATTGGTGAGATGGTTCCACCAGTGAACGGATTCACCCTCAATAGACCACTGAGCGAGTTTCCTTCATTTACCCAAAGCTAAGTGGGACCCCAACCTTTGATGGGATTTTCTGCCCCCCCCCCTCTCCTCCCCGTATCACCTCTGACGCACAGACCGTTATCAGCAGAGAAACCAGTGTTCCGTGACACCGTGCAGGAACAGTGTGGCTTTGTTAAGAGAGGCTGACGTGTGCGTGTCGGACGTTGGGTCGGTACAGGGAACCTGTCTCACAGGGTTTATGAAACTAAAGGCTGATGACAGCCTGTTGATCTTTTTAAATACACAAAATAAATAAATCTAAGTATTAATGTCCAAAGAATGTTTCATCATCCATAAATAAAACCAAGATTCACAAATGTCTCTGTGATTTGTGAGTAATTTAAGATGTTGGCAGGTGCATTTTTAATTCTTCCCCATGATTATTGATTCAACAGACTCCTTCAGTTCCGCTGTCACAAGGACCGATACAGGAGATCATTCCTGCCCAGTGCAATAACACTCTACAATAAATCCTCCCTGGCTAAATGATGACAATAACAACCCTGTACTGCTGTGATGTTGCTGCTCTTCCTCTTCCTCTTCTCCTTTTACAAATGATTATTATTTTCTCTTTTGGAAGGTTATTCTTTTGTTTCAGTTTTAGTTTATTTAATTTAATATCTTATTATATTGTATATAATGTGTATCTTTTTATTCTATTTATTCTATATGCTGTAGAATGCTGCTGTGATACTAAAATGTCCCTCTTGAGGGATCAATAAAGTATCTGTCTATCTGAAGATTTGTTAGACTTCCTGTAAATAATA